CCTCCTCCGGTAGGTGCGGGTTGGGCCAGGACCGAGTCCGTCCCCGGTGCCTCACGTCCCTCACCCTCCTTCATCTCCGCAGGTGGCAGCGGCCCGTGTGCTCCCTGCTCGTCTGCCTCAGCCTCAACTTCCTCCTGCTCACCCTCGGCCAAGGTGCGTGGAGCAGGGGGGACAGGGCTGGTCCTCTCCCTGGACCCCGCGGGCTGACGCTGTCCTGCCTCTTCCAGCCGCCTGGTACTCGGTGCTCGCCCTGTTGGTCGTGGTACCGGCCCTGCTGGGCTACCTGCAGGAGACGTGCCGAGCCCGGCCCTCGGAGCCGGAGCTGGTGCGCAGGAGGTACCACAGCATCCGCCGGGAGGACCTGCGCAGGGTGCAGCTTTCGCAGCAGGAGGCCGTCGCCCAGGTCAAGAGCTTGTGAGTCTCTGGAGCCCTCCCGGCTGCAGGGCTCCTAGGGTTCTGCAGCCAGGAAGGCTTCTCCGTGGCTGTGGAGGCCTGGGTTCGTGCCAGCCAGGCCACCATAAAGCGTGTGGGTGTTGGGGAGCCAGAGTGGGCGTTTGTGGGTGTCTTTTTGTGACTGTGGGGTCTCATTCACAGCCTGATCCAGCTGGAGGGGTTCCTGAGCGGGATGTGCTGCAGCTGTGAGGCAGTGTACCGTGTACTGTACTGGGAGAACCCCACTGTCTCTTCTCAGTGAGTAGTACCGGGGTCAGGCATCCTGTGGTGGCCTCAGCAGGGAGAGGGGCCCGGCCAGACCTGTGGAGCTGTGTTTAGTACTTGGAGAGAGCAGGGGGAGGACCAGATGAAGGAAGGGGGCTTGTGCTGTGGTGTGAGTTGCTCTGTCTTGACTGCAGTGTCCTGCTGCTCCTTCCCAGGTTTTATGGAGCGCTGCTGGGCTCTGTCTGTGTCCTGTACCTGCTGCCTCTCTGCTGGGTCCTGGCCATCCTCAACAGCACCCTCTTCCTGGGCAACACCCATTTCTACCAAGGTAAGAGACCTCCCTGGAAGTGGCCTGTGTGGGATGGGTTGGGGAAAGGCCCTCTGGAGCCAGGGATCCTGCCCTGGACCTCATCTAGCACCCTCACGTGAGCCCAATGTCCTGTGCCAGACTCTGCCATGGGACGTGAATGCCCTTGAGGGCAACAATGTCCTAAGGATGGCACTCAGCAGCCCGGGTTGGGTGATGGGGTCCTGGGGCTCAGCTGCGGGAGGTGAGTCTCTCCTGATGTGTGTCCTGGCCTGGATGCTGTTTGCTGCTCTCCTCTGCCCAGTGTCAAACCAGGGCCTGGCAGTGCAGCCTGTGTGTGAGCTTTGCCACCTCTCTCGGTCCCTGACCCTGCTCTGCAGGACTTGAAATACTCTTGGTGCCTGTGGCAATGTATGATACAGGCTTGAAAACTGTGCTGTGCTGTCAGAGGGGAGGAGGAGAGCTGGAGGTGCTCCCTGTTCTGTGGCACGTTCTGGAGGAGAGCTGGATGAGATCTATGTGGCTGAGCTGTGACTAAGGCCCCTTCCCTATCCTGAGCTGGGGCAGGTGATGGGAGGTTCCTTGCTGCCCTAACTTTGATGTGTGAGCAGAGGAGGCCTCAGGATACCTGATGGGTGAAGGCTATATGTGGCAATGTCCCATCTTGAGCCCTGGAGGTCAGCTCTTGCAGTCGGCTTTTGTGTGGCAGGGCTGGGAGAAGGGAAGTGCCACCCCGCTCCAGCCATGTTCCCCTCTTACCAGTCGTGATGGAGCTCAAGGCCTCGTTCGAGCAGTGTGTGGGCACCAAACCCCTTGAGAGCACTCCAGAGCCTGCCGAACCCCTGCCAGCTGCTGCCCCCCTGGATCGGACCCCCACACCCACCAGCACAGAGGTGAGATAGGGGCAGGGCTGGCAGTTGTGGGCTAGGAGCTGCAGTGTCAGCCATTTGGTCTGACTGTGCCTGTGTCCCTCTACCCCACAAACTCCTTCCAGCTCCCAGCTTTGCTGGAAGCCTGTGAGCTCCTCTTGAGTTACTGGGGCGCTGCCCTGCTGCGCTGGGGGCTTGGCTCAGTACTTTTGCTGCATGTAAGGGTGCAGTCTGGGGAGGAAGGGCCTCACCTCACTTTCTGGGACTCCTGTCTTCTCATGGAGGTGCTGGTGGCCTGATCCTTCATCCTGAAACCTGTTGCAGAGGTGTGGGCCCACCTTTGGACAGGGGAGGGGGGTACAGCAGGACTAGCTCTGTGACTCTCTTGCAGGACCTTACCCCTGGCAGCGTGGAGGAGGCGGAGGAGGCAGAGCCTGATGAAGAGTTCAAAGATGCTATTGAGGTTTGAGGCTGGTGGGGATGGGCTCTGTCTTCAGGGCAGTTGTCTGCAGCGGGGAGGGCCTTGGTGGGCAAGCTGGGTGCTCAGGGAGGGTGGCTATGAGGCTGGGCACCTCTGACTCCATCTATACTGCCTCTCCTCTCTGTCCCATGCTGCGGGAGAAGGAGAACCAGCTGCTGGTCATGGTAAGTAGTGCCATGCCAAGGTGTGCAAGAGGGGCATCTCCTTCCAGCTGGAGCTGGCAGCCTTTGCCTGGCTTGCTGGTGGCTTGTGGTGATGCCAAGTGGAGCATCCTGCTTGCTGGGTGCCTGTCTCTGGGGTGGGCTGCCCTGCAGCTCCCCAGTGTGCCCCCAGCCCCTCCTCCATGCTCAGCTTGCTCTGCTCTCTGCAGGAGGATGACGAGAGCTCTCAGTGCTCAGCAGATTTTGACCTCAGCCTCCCGGACAACGGTTTTATGAGCAAAAACGAGGTGATCCGCAGCAAGGTGTCCCGTCTGACGGAGCGCCTGCGCAAGCGCTACCCCAGCAACAACTTCGGTAAGGCTGGGAGCAGGTGCTCTTTGGGGGAGCTCAGCAGGGCGGGGGCTGTGGTGACCACCACACTAGGAGTGGACAGAGTGGTATGGCACCTGCAAGGGCTGTGCTGACATCTCCAATGACCTCCTCCCTCCAATGGGAGGATGTTCCCAGCCCTCCTGGGAAGGGCAAGGATGAGAAAGTGCAGCAATGTTGTCTCCGAGCCTTCACAACAGCCGTGGGCTTTCCTGTACTTCTCACAGTCCCAGGCAGTGGAGCCCTGCTTGACCTCTGCTCTCTTTCTTCCAGGGAACTGCATGGGCTGTGCAGCCACCTTCTCTGTGCTCAAGAAGAGGGTGAGTCTTCAGCTTCTGCCCCACCTTGCTGCCTGCACCTGGGGCAGAGGTGTTGCGTGTGTCTGGCTTGCCCTGGCTTTCCCTGGCAGCTCAAGTGGCTGGCCTCGGTCACAGCCTGGCAGCAGATGACCTCAGCTAAGTGCTGGGTGTTGTCACTTGCCTAATGATGCCAGGCATCCCTTGTGCTGTGAAGCCTTGGTCTGTTTGCTCCTTTGGAAGCTGCCTCAGGCCAAACCAGCATATGCTGGTGTAGAAAGCACCTGCTCTGTGCCCTGGTTTGCCCATTTGCTGTGGCCTTAGAGCTTTCTGGTGAAGCAGAGTGTGGGTCTGCTTGTGGGAACTAGAGGAGCAAAGGCCACCCCTGTTGTCTTATCTGGTGCTTGGTGTACAGTCCCCTGGGCAGTTCTGGGAAGGATGTATCTCTTGTCCTCTCCAGCCTCACATTGCTGTCATCCTGGTGCCTCCCCTTCTCCAGACTCGTGGCCCCCACCCCTAACTCCTGGGTTAGTCTGATACGTGTCTGGGACTCTCTGGAGCTTGAGTCCCTCGAAAGTTACAGCATAGGAAGTAATATAGTGTCCTTAAAACTCCTGGGGCCTGTGCTCCTGGTGTTTTCTCAGCCTGGGCACAGGCTGCCTGTGATGTTAGGGCATAGTTGAATGCAGTTCCAGTGTTAGGCCTGGGTGCTTTGTCCAGGTGGTGTTGGCAGATGATCCCTCTGGTGTTGTTGTCTGGGCTCAGGGCTTGCACCTGCTCTCCTTCAGAAGGGAATTCTGTTAGCAGTGCTCTGGCACTGGAGTTTGCTGGGGAGGGCTGGGAGTGGGCCCAGAGTAGTGTCTCACCTCCATCTCTCTCCACAGCGGAGCTGCAGCAACTGTGGGAACAGCTTCTGCTCCAGGTGTTGTTCCTTCAAAGTCCCCAAGGCTGTGATGGGAGCCACAGGTGAGTGGAAAGGTGGAGGAGGGCAGAGCTCCAGGTGTGCTGCCTGCTGAAGGAATTTGCCCCAGCCTTGGTGGGGAGGATAGACAGGACCTGCCCAGCACAGCCTGGCTTGGCACAGAGCAGTGATGCGTTTGCAGCTCTCGGAGCAGCTCCCTAGCTGGGGCCCCTAGCTCGTGGTGGGGAAGGGGAGCATCTCTGACACCTGCTTTCCTTTCCAGCCCCAGAGGCTCAGAGGGAGACGGTGTTTGTGTGTGCTCTGTGCAACCAGGTGCTCATCAAGTGACTGAAACAGGCCCAGCCAGCTCCTGGGTTCTGCCCTGCCTGACACCCAGGACAGCGGGTGCTCTTGCAGCTGGGAGCCTGGGCTGCTTCGTTCCCAGTGTGGCATCGCCCTGCCAGAGGATGCTTGTGCTCACTGCTTCTCCTGACACTGCCGGGCTGGGGGAAGACCAGCCCCCCTTGCCACGCAACATCTGCCACACAAGTTGGGTCCCCGCGGCAGAGCATTGCCCGTGGCTGTGCCCCCATCCCTGCAGCGGCTCCAAGCCCTGGGTGCTCCCTGGCACTCACTGTGCCCTGCCGTGTACTTGCCCAGGCTCTCTGGACTGTCTGAGTGCTGGAGAAGCCATCCTTCCCACTTATGGCCCTACCTTCACCTGCTGGGTGGGGCAGAACAACCTCAGGGCTCTGTCACTACCTTTCCTAGCATGGTGCTAGGTGACTGTATTTTTTGGGATCAAGTTAGAGCTCTACCAACGTCCCTAGGAGATATGGTCTTTGGTCCTGGCTCAGCTGAGACCCTGCTAGTCGCTCCTGTGCTCCTCGGCCTCACTGCCTGCAGGTTTAGTCCCCGTTCTCCCCCATATTTGACTGTAGTGCAGAGGGGACAAAAGGGAAAGCTTGGGCTGGGCTGTGTGGCCGAGTTTCCAGCTGTAGCCTGAGACAAGACATGAGTTGGTGCTGCTCTGTGCGCTTAGTGACTGCTGCTTTGTACTACAGATTAATATATAAGTATATAGAGAATGACCAATAAATCTCTTGTCCTCAGCTGGCTCTTGTCTTGCCCCTGTGAAAGCTGTCCCAGTCCCAGGTCACCCTGGCACCTCTGTGGCCTTGGTCCTGCAGGTGGTCACGGAGAAATGGTGTGTGTCTGCCACCAGCTCTCCTTGCTTACTGGGATTTCCATCTTCTGTCGTGCTGTGGCCTTGTTTGCCCCTTGCTCAGAGCTGTGAGCAGCTGCCCCTTCTTGGCCGTGCCAGGGCTGGATTCTGCTGGGCTGGAGCCAGGGAGCAGCTCAGCTCTGGCAGGAGCTGCTGGGCTTCCTCTCTGCCTCCTGGGGCTGCTCCTTCTCCTGCCCTACCCAGGCGGTGGTCCTGGCAGCTGCCTGCCCGCACAAGGGTGACCTTTCCCTTCATGAACAGCAAAGCTCCCAGCTATCCCAGGAATGTGACCCAGGCTGCTGTGCAGCTGGGAACGGCCAAGGTCTGGGTCCCCGCCAGCCAGCTGCAGCTCCCCCAGGCTGGGGGGTCTGGTGCTCTTGGGCTGGCATTGCCCGGTGCCCACATCTCGCTGCTGATTGTGCACCCCACCAGAGTGAGAGCTTGCATGGAGCAGCCCTGCGGGCAGCCTGAGCCCTCCTCTCAGCCGTGGGCTTATAAACCCCTTTCTCAAGCTGTGCCCTATGGAAATTTGGGGAAAAGCCGGACTCGTCAGTGATGACGAGGGTGTCTGAGTTGTGCTGGGTGTACTCCAAGGCCAGGGTGTGTGTGGGGGCTGGTGTGCGGAGGGCATGGCAGTTACTGGGGGCAGTGGAGCAGCTGTAACATTGGGGAGGGGGCTGTGTAGCACCCCAAAAGCTATGGGGTCATGTTTGTGGGTGGGGGTATATCTGCAATGGGGTGAGTACCTGTCTGCGAGGGGCTGGGGTTGTTGAGCTGTAGAGCTCAGGCGGCTGACGGTGGGAGGCAGAGAAGAGTTATTTGTCTTTCTAGAGAAAACACTTGGAGTGATGAGTGCTGTGGCCGTGTGTGTCTAAACCCTCCCTGGAAAGATGCTAATGACACAAAATACAGAGGGCTACAGATAAACTTGGGCAGCTGGAGGTGGGGTTTTATTTGCGCACTTTTAAGTTTTGCAGTAAAATGACGTAATTGACGATGTTTATTCCTATGGCAGCATGCTCAGCAGCCTCACTCTGAACATACCTTCTAACAATATTTGAGTTTTTTCCTTTTTTTTTTTTTTCCTAAATTGGCCAGGGTGGAGGGTGAGGGCAGTAACTGCCTGCCCCCGGTGTAAGGCTGTGGCGAGGGCTGGCTGCCCCACGTCCCTGGCCAGCTGTGGGGCACGGGCACGTCCCCCCCGGCTGGAGCAGGATGTGGGTGTACTTTGGGGCGCTGGGGGTGGCCAGGGGGCTGAGGCCCTGGGGATTGGGGATCACCCTGGCACGGGGCAGGTGCCTTCTCAGTTGGGAGGAGGGGGCGTGCAGACGTCCCGCAGCCTCAATTCCCCTCTTGTCTCGGGAGGCTGCTCTGCG